TATAATAGCGCCCTGACTTTTGTTAATTTGATGATTTTGAAATTTCCAAAAGTCAGTAAGTTAACAAAAGTCAGGGCGCTATTATAACAATATATTCTTGATATTAAACAGAGCAGAAGTCTCGTACCATTTTTTCCCGACAAATACTTAGGGGATATCGTGAGTTAAATATTGAAAAAGTTATCAAGTTTCCTTTAAATATCTAAAAAAATATTAGACAAATAAAAAAATATTTCAGACAAAAATTGTTTAAATTAATTAGTAAAAGAAACGATGTAATAAAAAATTGAGGTTTCCGTTTAAGAAAAGTAATGATCAGTGAATATCTCGAAAGTGGTGCCATTTGTAAATAAAATAGTATAGTTGTTTATGTCTCTCTTGAAATCATATAACTATTGTTCGAAACCTTTTTGCTGAAAATGCTTCGTTGAAGAATTATCGAGGTGCGTTTTTTAAAATGGGACACCCTGTGTATACATATACAGGGTGTCTCATTTTAAAGTTTACAGTGCTATATTTCGTAAACTGATAATTTTATTGAAAAATGTTTCAAACAAAAGTTATAGGGTTCAAAGGGGGATATCTAACGGTGACCTTGGCTTGTCGTTTGAAGATCACGTAAAACTCAACTTTAAAATCTTAAAGGAAACCCCCAATTTTTATTGCATATTCTTGTAGCCCTTGTCGAGACGTTTTCGAAATACTACATACTTTTGTCTTTTGTGTAAGCCATTCCCAAGATATAAAGCTTCAAAGTTAACATACCATCAGCATTCGCATTATCCGATGTACACCGCGGGGAGGTTGTTCCGTCGGATTTGTACATGATAGTGGCCCTATAAAGGGCCGATTGTGTGTGTGTGTGTGTGTGTGTGTGTGTAGGGGGACTCATTCACCATAGATGTTTGAAAACGTCGCCATCGATAGCTCGGCACATTCGATTTGGCTTTTTAAAACTTTCGACGAGTTTCAGAAGAACGTTTGCTGGAATCGCTCGGCACGCATTTCTGATGCGATCTATTATATTCTGTCGCGTCGTTGGCGGTTGACGGAACACTGCGTCTTTTAAAAATCCCTACAGATAAAAATGCGGAGTAGTAAAGTCGGGTGATCTTGGTGACCACCAAACTGGACCATCCCGACCTATCCATTGATGAGGGAAAGTGACATCGAGGTGATTCTTCACAACCCGAGCACTGTGAGCTGGTGGAGGTGCTCTATCTTGTTGGAACCATATTCTTGCTCGCGTGACCAAGGAAACATCTTGCAGAAGCATTGGCAACCTATTCTACATGAAGTCGAGGTATCTTCCAGCATTTACCGTTCCTTCAAAAAAGTGTGGACTTATGAGTATTTCATCAACGATCCTGCACCACACATTCAAACTCCACCGATGATGGTGATTGATCTGCAAAATCCACCGTGAATTTTCAATAGACCAGTAGCGACTATTCCATCGGTTTAAGTGCCCTCGGCTGTTGAACGTTGTCTCATCACTGAAGAGGACAATCTGAAAAAGTTCGGGTCAAGCTCAATTCGTCTCAAAGCCCATTGACAAAATTCGACACGGCGTAACCTGTCTGGTTCTGTCAGACTTTGATGCAACATTATCTGGTAGGGATGATATTTCGTCGCCTTCTAAATCCAGTGTGCGGTTGACCGTACAACTCCCAAGTAGCGTCCCATTTCCCGAAGACTTACTTCGGGATTAAGATTAATCATCGCAAGAACAGCAATGTTCCGTATACCAAAGTGATCAGCAACATCTTCATTGACGTTCCGGCGACGTCTTTTATGCACTAGCTGTCCACATCGAATCCTTCTTCCTATTTTCAAAATAATCATCGCCGACGGGTATCGACGTTGAAGAAATCGGCAACGATAAAGCAACACAGCTTTGCGATAATTTCGTTCACATTCTCCTAAAGCAAGAATAATATCAACAATTTCGTTTGGGGTAAAATGAAGCATGACGTAGTCCAAATCTTTTATCTCACAAAAGTAAAATGTACAGACTTGCAGTCCACACGACAAGGATGTGATATCCTGCACGATAACTTTACTGACAGGGGAAGTGGCATGGAGGTGATTCCCGAAGGAAAGTAAACTATGATATATCGACGGGGAGCGACCTCCCCGTGGTGTACATCGGATAATACGAATGCCGATGATATGTTAACTTTGAAGCTTCATATCTTGGGAATGGCTTACGCAAAAGACAAAAGTAGGTAGTGTTTTGAAAACACCTCGATAAGGGCTATAAGAATATGCAATAAAAATTTGATATTTCATTTAGGATTTTAAGGTTGACCTTTACATGACCTTCAAACGACATCCAAGGTCAAACCAATCTCACCGTCAGATATCTCCCTCTGAACCCTATATCTTTTGTTTGAAATATTTTTCAATAAAATCATTGGTTTGCGAAATATAGCAATGTAAATTTAAAAATTGGACACCTTGTATAGAGTGTTTCAATACGCATGATTATCCTTTGGCGGTGTGAAAGAGAATGAAATTCTGAATCGAAAGTTCCTCTTCCATTTTTTCCTTCGACCATTAATAACAAAGGCTGTTTTCCAGCAAGGGTCACAGAAGCTACAATGTAACATTGTGTCCAACACAGAATGTTCAAACAATGACGAATATTACACTGCTCTACACAGCAAAAGTCTGAGTTGCAGCGTATCAATCATATCGATGCTACCAATATTTAGAAATATTTTATGTAACAGATGGTAACTATTTTTCTTCCTTTAGTACGAATATAATTTACAATAATAAATATATTTAATTAATGTGAACATAACCTACAATATATATATTGTTATATGTATTTTTATATTATACTGATTTATACAAATAAACATAATGGAACCTGTAATGAAAATTAAAGGGAGAAAGAGAAAATGTAACGAGTCGTGCTCATTCCCGGGTGAGCGTCAGCCCTTATCCGCTATGAGGAGTAGCTCGTCGGTGCCAAGGTTCGGAAAAAGGGAGAGATTCAGGTTCACACCTTAACTAGACGGTTCGTTGTATGAACAGTGGTTTATTGTTCCCTGTACAGAGTATTAAGCACGACTTAGGTAGCTAACACAACTTATAGCTAACGCGACCTATATCTACTACGACTGGTGTCTAGCGTGACCTACAACTAACGCGGCCCATATCTATTACGACTGGTGTCTAGTGCGATCTATAGCTAACGTGACTTATAGCTACGACGACTGGTGTCTACCGCGACCCATAGCTAATGCGACTCGTATCTAACGCGCGTAGCTCGCGGACTGGACGCGACTGCCGACCCGACACTCCGTCGGTGGGTCGCGATGCGTGCGACGGATACGGACGGCGATTGGCTATCTCGATATCGAGGTTGCTTCGAGAGGACTCTGACAAGAGCCGTTTCTACGTTCCTCGCCGATTCGACGTTTCCAATCGACGTCGTCTCCGCTTTCCTTCCTCGCGATGCAGAGGCGGGGAAGCGAATTTCGAGTGCGGGTGAGCCCGCACTAGACAAGGGAGCCGGTCATGAGCGCGGGAGTCTCGTGTTTGTGCGGTGCGGATGGCGTTATCAGGAGCTCTAAGATCGCCGATGGGAGGGTCTGGAGAGACGCGGGTGTTCCGTGTCTCTCGACCTGTAAGAGGAGCAGGATTGCTCGACGAGCCGGCTTTTGGGAGCCCCGAAGGCGTCGAGCGTAGGTCAAGGTCTAGGAAGCCCAAGAGTCTTCGAGAGTCACGAAGATCTTGCGCTGGCAGGAATGCCTGAGCTTCTCGCAGTGCCGACTTATATACCCGTCTCAGGTCTCCCACTAGCGCCTTCATAGTGATAGGGGAGGATTGCCCAGGAGGGGCTGTCAATGTCGTATCGGCTGATGGCGCCTAAAGGCGCCGTGTTCAGGAGTGTCTGGTGCAGTATTCGGCCCGATAGGTTTTTCTAGTGACGTTTGTATCGTCACAAAGATAAATATAAAAAAGATAATTAGGACTTTTTTCATTTATATATCTTGTTAAAATAAATTTCTTCATATATCATCCTCTTTCTACTTCCTTTCAGAACTATTTGTATGTAAACAATGCAATAATATAATTGCATTCCTTGCATTTTAAAATGTATTAATTACATTTTTGTAATTGCATAATGGATTTTTTGAAAAATTCTTATTCTTTTAATTGTTTTAGAATTATGTCTTCATTATATAGATCCGTAAGATACTCATAAAAATAAGAATGACAAACTGTAATGCACTCTGGTGTTACATAAGGAAACTAAATTGCGTTCCAACAAATACTTTACACGGTGTAGTACAATGTAATTTAGCGTTTCATAGCTGGAAAACGGCCAAAGTTATTAACGAAGAAAATCAACTAATGGCGCGCACGACTATCGTGCAATACCGTACACTAGCGTCGGACTCCGCCCTGTGCTGGCGTCGAATTTGTTTTTATCTGATAATATCAAATAGCTCATTTATCATCCATTTGATGAGCTTAAAAAGTGCCATTTTTTTCGATAAGCAGTTAACGAGATGTCTTAAGTTAAATATTGAAAAAGTTACCAAATTTTCCTTAAATGTATCTAAAAATATCTAAAAATATCTAAATATCTCAAAAAATATTAGGTAAATAAAAAAATGTTTCAGACAGAAGTTGTTCAAATTAATTGGTAAAAAAAGATTATATAATAAAGAGTTGGGGTTTCTAGTTAAGAAAAGTAATGATTAGTGAATATTTCAAAAGTGGTGCCATCTGTAAACAAAATGATATAGTTGTTTTATGCCCCCCCTTTAAACCATAGAACTTTTGTCTGAAACATTTGTTTCTACAATCAAAAATAGGAAAGTTATTGGGCTAGGTAACACATACTTAAAATGACTCACCCCGTTTGTCCAATATTTAAAACATTTTATTTAAAATATTTTTTGCAGTAGTAACTTTTGTATAGATAGACTGTGTATGTTATTGTATCTATCCTACATTACATATATTTTTTTATATAGGTGTCTAAGCTGCAATTTTTAGTTAATGACTCTGTGAATAACGGAGTAAAACTTAATTGGGAGTTAAAACAAGATTATATTGCAGCATTTGCTGTTCAAGGGCACAGAGCTCGGATGGAAGATCGTTTTGTAGTAAATGAAGATGTAAACAATATTGGAATTTCTTTGTTTGCAATATTTGACGGTCACGGTGGAGAGGTAATATTTTATCAAATTGTTGATTTAATCTTATTTTACTGCTTTATTTGTGATATATCATTCAATGGGATAAAATGTTAATTACAAGGTTAATGAACAAAGTCCTTATAATAGACAAATATAATGATAATGTGATGTACAAGGTGTGTGAGAAAAGTAATGAGACTGATTTTTTTATCTACCAAAGTTTTTATTTTTTTCAAACAACAATATTGTCCCCTTCAAAGTAGTTCCCTTCGGCAGCTATACACTAGCGGAGTTGTAGTTCCCAGTCTTGATAGCAGCGCTGAAAGGCGTCAACTGGTAGGGCCTTTAACATGTCGGTCACATTCTTTTGAATGTTCTCCAGAGTCCCAAAATGATGTCCTTTTAAGACATTTTTCAATTTCGGGAAAAGAAAAGAGTCACAAGGACTCAGATCAGGTGAATAGAGGGGCTGTGGAACAAGAGGAATGCCTCGTTGGTTTTTGAAATTGAAGGTCTTCCTGAGCGAGGTTTATCTTCAACGTGTTCTCGGCCTTCCAAAAATGATTTGTACCAGCGAAAAACTTGTGCTCTTGATAAGGAATGTTCCCCATAGGCCTGTTTCAACTTTTCAAAAGTCATATTCGCGGATTCCCCAAGTTTAACACAAAACTTGATGGCATAACGTTGCTCTAAATTCCGCTGTTCCATTTTCGTAACACACGATAAAAACACAACTTCACTGATGGTGCTCTCAAAAATCACGTGATGGCTGTACGGAGCTGGAATTCGGACTGAGCATCTGGAAGGGATGAACACACCGGTCTACACAAGTAGAACAACACAGCGTTGCCAGATCGCTCGCAGTGTTATCAGTCTCATTACTTTTCTCACACACCTCGTATATATTAAGTATCACAATATTCATTGTTAAATTTAACTTAATAATTACATAATTTTAACGAGTCCTCTTATAATCAAATGTTAGTAAAATACCGACAGTACACTAACAAATTCAATTACGAATGCCAGTAGATTTCTATTTACTATATTCATTATATTAATTATATTAAGCTTGTCTTTTTATTGTGTTTTTACTATATGTATTACATTAACTACATTTAGCTTGTTTTTTTACCAATTTTTTTATAATTTACAATATATAATTAACCGATATAATGTAACTACAGGAATGCGGCAGTTGCACGCATAACATGCTGTCACAACAGCACACAAATACTATGATAACAGAACATGGCAAGAATAGAATAAAGCATTTTACATGACTTTAATAGCAAAATGTTATAGAAATTGTATACAACGTACTGTCACGATATGACGATAGAAATATGATACAATATAATATGACTTTATCTTAAGAGAGAGAGAGAGAGAGGGAGAGAGAGAGAGAGGGAGAGGGAAAAGGAGAGAGAGAGAGAGAGAGGGAGAGAGAAAGAGGGAGAGAGAGAGAGAGAGAATGAATGAATGCATGAATGAATGAATTGAGTTTATTAGCTTTCTCAGCTATTGCAATACATATATAATTATATAAACTAATTTAACACTAACTTACGCTTAATATATGTTTCCTAAGTTTTCGTTTGAAGTGCTCCAGTCTCTCACAACACTTTATTTTCCTCGATAAACTGTTATACATCTTTATTCCATTATAGAACATACATTTTTGCGCATTGTTAATTCGAAATTGAATCGCAATATCCTCGCCCTGCCGTGTAAGCCTACCACTTATATTATCTAATATTTGTATCTTATTTCTCAAGTAACCAGGCAAGAGGCCTTTCATTGCTTTACAGATAAATATAAATACATGTATTATAGTATATCCTCTGTCTCACGAACATAAACTGCAACGATTGCAGCATATATTCAATCTCAGTATCCCGTCTACATTGCGTCTACAATGCGACTCTCATGGTCCGATTTTGCGCTACTTGTAACTTATTTAGCTGTGTTTCACCCATTCCGATTAATATAGTCGCACAATATTCAAAATGAGGCGCAATGATTGATTTATATATAATGCATTTTATATACAGTCTGTAAAGTAAGAGCGTGCACGGGTTAATGTGTAGAAAAATTTATTTTTAGTGATTTTTAGGTACATGGATTTGTTGTACTCCATGAGAAGAAAAATGCTGTACCACTAATAATGAGTCCAGTCACCACCGGCATTGATAATTGCCTGGCATCTCCGAGGCATACTTTCCACTAACAAGGAGATGACGCAACCTGTTTCATCGATTTCAACACGAGTCATAGCACACTCGATAGCTATGATGCCGTGTATAAACGCCCTAACATAATATGCGTGAATGCGTCTTTGTTTACGAGTAATTTGCAGTTAAAGTTTGGCTCGCGGAGCCGTGCCACACATATGGCACAAGTTACGATACTCTTTCACGAAGCCGGCGTGGCTGAGCAGACAGAGGCTCCCGCGCCGCGAACACTTTTGCGCCGCCGACGGCGTTCGAGTCCCGCCGACGACTGGTTCGTTTTTTTCGTATGTAAAGACATGTAATAAATATTTTTATATTGTTCTTATGTATAATTCCTTTTTTTGTTTCTACGCTATTAATCAAGGCTAATTAGGAGAGTCAGGTCTTTCAAATATGAACATAACTTTTTTATTAATTACAATAAAATGTTTTTTTCGTGTAAATCTATTTCGCATAAATATTTCGTATGGTATGGGAAAGAAATGGCCAGACAGTGATTATTTCGTGTGAGAGAAACCCGAGAGCCGTTAGAACCGTTACAAGTGGAAAGGAACCCTCTTCCCTTTCCCCTTCTCGCAGAGGGATTCTCATGTTTTGTGACGTGCTCGCTTCATTCTCTGGGCAGTCTTCGTAACGTGAACAGTGAAAAACTCGTGTTAAAAATGGAAACCACGTTTGTAGATGAAGCAACGATCAGCTATGTGCAAAATCTAGCAAAATGTGATATTACGAAAGAAGAGTTGACGGACGCAATAGAATATCTTCGAGGTAAATATATTGAATATGTGAGCAATGGAAAGATATATTTGTACGTATTGTTATTGGCCTTGTATACAATATCAATTATATTGAATTCATATTTGCAGATGTCCTGATACAATTTTCGTCCAGTTTTGTTGACAGTCGCGAGGTATTTTACAACGTCAATCAAATATGTTTTCCACCAACTATACATAGTCAAAAGTGTATTTGTGCAAAAAATTATGCGTTCATTACGTGCAGTTGGTGCAAAAAACTATTATGTTTTACATGCTTTTATACGGCATTCCATCCGCAGAGTTGCGACAGCATGACCACATTTTATAATACGTAACTTTGATTTGTGTGCCTTATATTTGTCTTATGTGTGTGTGTGTATGTGTTTTGATACGGACAAAAACATTTTATTGTAATTAATAAAAAAGTTGTGTTCATATTTGAAAGGCCTGACTCTCCTAATTAGCCTTGATTAATAGCGTAGAAACAAAAAAAGGAATTATACATAAGAACAATATAAAAATATTTATTACATGTCTTTACATACGAAAAAAAAAACGAACCAGTCGTCGGCGGGACTCGAACGCTGTCGGCGGCGCAAAAGTGTTTGCGGCGCGGGAGCCTCTGTCTGCTCAGCCACGCCGGCTTCGTGAAAGAGTGTCGTAATTTGTGCCCTATGTGTGGCACGGCTCCGCGAGCCAAACTTTAACTGCAAATTACTCGTAAACAAAGACGCATTCACGCATATTATGTTAGGGCGTTTATACACGGCATCATAGCTATCGAGTGTGCTATGACTCGTGTTGAAATCGATGAAACAGGTTGCGTCATCTCCTTGTAAGTTGACTGCGTATTCGTTCGGTAAAGATCTCCAAATGAGACGAATTTGTCGTGTCAGCTGCTTCAAAGTGCACACTCTTTTTCCTCGAAGCTTGTGCTTGAGATATGCCCACACATTTTCAATGGGATTTGCATCTGGCGACTGCGATGGCTAATCAAGTGTGACGATGCCAGACTGCTCTTTCCACTTGGTGCAAAGCTTGCTCCGGTGTTTTGGGTCGTTGTCTTCCTGTAAGATCCAGTCCTCGTTTTTTTTTATGAAGCATCGTTCAGCAGTCGGCAACAAACACTTCTCATAAATTTTAAGCATTAAGGTCGGGTTCCGCTTAAACAAATTCACAATTTTTTTTCCATATTCGGCGTCACTTTACCTATCGAGCCACGTTCTGGCAAGTCATCGACATTTTTGATCTTTTTATATTGTTGAACTCACTTAGCGACGAACGATTTTGACTTTCCCATGTATTTAGCAGCCACTGCATATGACATTTTTGGTCTTTTGGGGTGGGAACAAAGCCTCGTAGCGCGATGCATATGCGGCACTCATGGCGGTTAACGTGTTTCTCAGATTAGAGTTCGACGCCAACTGAATCTTTTGTGACAAAGCATTCACGACAAAGATTTCATCTATCGGCTCACAAAAAAACTAGGACGATATTTGAATCCAATTGCCATTTATGCCGTGCATGCTTTTACTTTACAGACTGTATCAACACACTACTACACAACCTATTCAAGAAACTTGTTTTTTTGCCTATATTCTTACTCATATAATCACAATGCTCATCCAATTTTAATTCCTTCTCAATAATTACCCCGAGGTATTTTATTTTTTCTACCTGTTCTATTGATGTCCCATCCAAACATTTAACCGTAATGCATACTTTCAGCTCACTCCTCGCCCCCCTCACAATCATATATTTTGTTTTACTCGCATTTAGTTTTAAACCATTTGCGTTTACCTATTTTTCAATTGTATTAAACATAAGGTTCATCTTTTGTTCGATTTCAATGAAATTCACACCAGTCATGTATAATATAGTATCGTCTGCAATAATTATACTAACTTTATTTAAGCGTTATAAATTTTAAAATATCACTTTCTATATTTTATTGCTACTACAACCTTTGAAAAGCTCAAACAATTTGAAGTTTACAGCGTACAAATTAGTATGCATGAATTGGGTATTGTATTAGAATAGTTAAACAAATTTATAAATAGCAAAGGTTATATAAAGTTATATGTACCAATTTTATATGTAACGTATTATGTTACATTTAATTTCATATAACCTTTATTATTTGTTATCTGATTCAACTATTTTTGGACGATATTTTCATTTATGTACTTATTTGTACAATATAATTCAATATTACATATGTTTGTACTTTTCAAAGGCTACGGTAACAATAAAATATAAAAAGTAATACGTTAAAATTCATTACGCTTAAGAAAAGTAATATGTTAAAATTCATTACGCTTAAAATAAAGTTATCGTCTGATAATATACAATTTAATGTGTTATAACACTCTGATGACATGCTGTAATTTATATAAAACTTACCTTTTTAAACAAAAAGGTAAAAAAACGCGCCAAGTACAAGCGCAACATGTATTGTGTTATTTTTAGAAATTTTAAACTCAAATTATTTTTTTAAGGCATATATGTGTACATAACATAAGTTTTTACAAGTAAAACTTATAATTACAATAAAACTCTACAACACTATTCTACTGTACAAAAGAAGTGATATATTAGAACAGTAGCGCCAATTGAGAAACCTAACATATATATATATGATTATTGTATATTTAATATTTTTAGAAATCTCAAATTCTAATTATTTCCTTTTTTAAGATATATATTATGTACATAATATAAGTTTTTCAAATAAAACTTATCAAATTATTTTTCTTTCAAGATATATATGTACATAAGCTTTTAAAAGTAAAAATTATATAGTATTATAAAAATTTAACACGTTTATTAATAGTGTCCAATATTTAAAAAAGAATATCTTTTTAAAGGTTATTGTTATTCAAGAAAAACCTAGCTACAAAAAATGTCTATGGCATAAATTTTTACAAGTAATTTTACAAGTAAATTTATCATTATTTATTAGAACACTGAGTTATATGATTATTTTACTTGTTATTGTAACAAATTAATTATTATAACAATGCAATAAAAAATATTTAATACAAATAATCTTGGCGCGGCTGCACCAAAAACTACATCGAAGATGTATGTACATAAAAGTCAAATTAGACATCATTGACATTTCGTCGATTATAATAAGAATAACACCTTTGAATAAAAAATATCAAAATATGTAGAATATATTCATATCCGATATCTATATTCTATAGTGAAGGTTTATAATTTAATATAATACTATGTAAACTTAAATAGAACATTACACTGTATATATATAGAGGGAATTTATAAATA